GTGGGTCTCTGTGTGTGTGTGTGTGTGTGTGTGTGTGTGTGTGTGTGTGTGTGTGTGTGTGTGTGTGTGTGTGTGTGTGTGTGTGAGTGCAGCTTTTTTAACTGTATATCGCAAGGAGCAAGGCATCTATCACTTACAGACTATTAATTAGAGCCCAGTGTTATGTGGTGAGACGTCGTCACTGCTCATGAAAGAATGGAAAGTTCACTTAGATGAGACACAATAACTCATAGCACTTGATGAAATGCTTTTGGATTTGGTTTGGGAGATGATGAAGTGTGTGTGTGTGTGTGTGTGCGTGTGTGCATGTGCCTCCCCTCTCCACGTGTGGGGTAGTGCGTTAGATGATTCCACCCCTGCATCTGTCAACGCAACATCCAAGAAGGTGTATATTAAGTTATTTGTGAAGTCGGGGCGCTAATTATGACTTCAGCTCTGTTTTTAGAACCAATGAAAAGCAGCATAGAGCCAGTCAGTCCGTCGCTATCTAAACAACATTAAATTACATGGAAACTTGGAGAGAGGAACACTCAAAAACTTTATCTGTGCGCCCTGCTCCGCTCCTTCCTGGCTTTACTGTGAGTGAGTGATTGCGGCACGGAATTCCTCATCGCTCAGGCCTTTTGTTGGGATTGCATCGCTCGAATAGTTTCCATCCCCCCCAGTCCCCCCCACACACCCTGCTCACCCCCTACCCCCCAGTGCAGACCCATTTTATTTATCTGCCATGTCTCATCGTTAGACAGGGGGAGCACGCATGGCTGCCCCGGTGCCCAGGGAGTGGAAATGTGACGGGCTGACAAACGGGCGAGTGTGGACAGACGTTTGTTGTGTCTAGACAGAGGCCTGGGAGGCTGTCATGGTCTCAGGGTAAACTGGTCTCACAGGAGACACACTGTAAACTTATCATGGTGGTATTGTGTGGGAGGCATGCTGGGCTCTATTGTGAACCCGGAGAGTATGCATTCAGTCATATGTGTTTGACTAAGTAGATAGAGAAGAGAAGAAAAGGACACTTGGACACACCAAATGTAATGTGTGTTCACTAAATCTTCCATGTGAGTGTCGATTTTTAATTTGGCACATTAAAAAAAAAGCTACGTGTTTATAGTTTGTTTTCAAAAGTCAAGTTAAGGCTAAATTAAGGCAATTTTACATAGTGCCTTAGCATGATTTGACATAGAAACTAACAATTCCATGCTCACTGATGAAAAAAACATTTCTGTGGTCATATTCAGGCCTCTAGTCATCGGGATACAGTGTGAGCAAATGCGTCAGAATACTTATGTGCATGTAAAAGCAGTCATTTACAATACTAACACCCAAACCCCAAACCCTGAGTAACATTTTCATCACTTTAGCACTCCACACACAGGCCTTCCTCAGAGACAGTGTGGTGTCGACACAGAAATCTGTCACCTCTCCCTCCCCCAGTAAAAAAAAGTTCAGAGTTGGATTCAGCATCATGGAGCACTGACATGGCTGCAATTCAGACTGCTGTTACACAGATGAAGGGCTGAACCCGCTGTTAAATCTCGTTCTTGGAGAGACGTTAAGATTTAAATGTACAAAAAGAAATGTCAGCGTTTTTGTATCCTTCATTTATCTAAAAAAAAAAAAAAAAGCTGCCTTTCTTCAATGTTTGTTTCAAAGTTACTTTTTCTGTTAACCCATCTGTCCATAAGCAAGCATACACATAAAAAAAAAAAAAAAACACTTAGGCTGTTACTCTTCCCTTCCCAGTTGCTTCTATGACTGTTGAAATTATCTGGAAATGTTGTTCTCTATTCTCTAACCTGTCCAAAAGCACAAACTATTACAAGTGTGCAACAACTTGCTTTTGCACAAAATGTGTTTCAACCTCTGCTACATTTCATTCAGCCAAAGTCTAATCTGTTTTCTGTAACGGATGCTTTGTTTACTTCAGTGACCTTTTGAGTGTCTGAGATTAGCTCTCTCTTCCTTCAGACACTGAGCTCTTTCTCTCCATTATTGTGTCATTTTATCTTGACCAGAAGGAAACAATGTCTAAAAGACAAAGCGGGGGTTGAGGTGACGAGCAGCTGTGTACATTGAGGTCATGCTCTCTTTCAGTGTGAGAGCCGGTTGCTGTTATTCTTTTGGCATTTCATGAAAGCCGCAGCCTCACAAGTGAATGTTTCCAAGTGTCAAGTAATGATTTGTATCGCAGGCTATGACCCCCAAAAAATCTGGTATGCCACATTAGTCAGTCACCAAAAGATGGGAAAATGGTTTTTAAAAAAAAAAAAGAAAAAAAGAAAAAAGAAAAAAGGCAGAAGTGGGAATGGACGAAGAGAAAAGAGGAAAAGGTGAAGGCCCAAACTTGGGCAGTTCCCACGACCGGCGAATTGCCCAAATCGCTGGTGGCTCTCTCTGTCCCCACCCCCTCCAATGCGTTCCGTGATGAATGGGACATTTAATATTGCCTCGCTTAAGGGTATTACTGGAATGTATCTGTCCTTCTCAAAACACTAAAACAACACTTGTTCTCAGACAGCCTGGACACAGACTAGTGTCAGTGTTCAAAATGTGAGAAAATCCAGCATCTTTTTGGAGTTTGTTAAAGGTCAAGGTTAAAGGTAAAGAGACATATTGATTTAGATCTTGTAAATCCACTTTTTTTTGGCTGTCTGTACTTAATTGAAAGCGGTCAACGGCAACTACTCATAACATTTGGAGGAAGATTATAGAGCACTAATGATTATTTAAATATATTTAATATATTGGTTTCCTCCCTACATGTGAGCCAATCTGTGTATTCACAGGCTTTTTGTAGTTGTATGTTCTAGATTGATATTTTTTTGTTGTTTCACCCCTCTACTGTAGCGTTGTGTTCTTTATCTGTTAAAAATCATAAATGTCTACAGCCATCACCGTCACCATCTTAGAAAGCATGCTAACATTTGCTAATTAGCACTAAAGGCAAAGTAGAGCTGAGGCTGATGAAATGTCATTCGTTTTTTACAAGCACTTGGTCATAAAATTTTGACCTGCTGGATTCCACGTGAGGGGGTCGCCAAAGTTGCTCAATGGCAATCCATCTAATAGTTGAGAGATAGAGATATTTCACTCAGGACCATCCGCAGAGACACACCACATGCAGTAGTAGGCTAAAAACAACCGACTCCACATGCATCCATTCTTGCTGTATTTGCTTGTGAACTATGGTCTCTGAAAAATAAGAAACAATTAACACAAGCTTAGCGAACCTGGTCAGGGTATAGTCACAAATACGTGGGTTGGATTGAAGCACTGCATTTAGGTGTCTTGTAAGAATGATTTTCTGACACCCAAAGGAGACGGGAGACGGGTGAGATTTTCTGGCTCTGCGCCACGCTGATGAATGGAGGCAGAGAGTTCTCATGAGCAAGTGTCATCCAATCTAATCCAGGTGATTAGTCATGCATTCTCGTCTTTCAAGGTGTGAGGCCCCTTTTTTTTTTTCTTTTTTTTTTTTTTTTCTCCCCCAAACCAGGGGCTCAGGTAATGTGATCCCAAAGTGAAAAGTATCAATGTTGGTTTCAAATAACTACATACACACATAGATGGAGAGAAAGGCACGTACTGTACTGTATGTACAAGAGCAGAAACAATGGTAGCAAGGGGCGAGAATATAGTGTGTCCTTAAGGCGACCCACCTCACTGGCAAAGCTCCTAAATTCTTCTGGTCTTATGGGAAGAATGGGACAAATATTGTTATGGTGACCAGTCAAAATGTTCTGCGTGATTCAACATGTGTTTGAAAAGCTTGACCAACACACTTAACCATGCACAAGTGCAGACACCCACTCATGTATTCATTCTCATAACATGGAAAGTACTGCAATATGTTTTATCTCTTGAGGATGCATTCAAAACCAAAATGGTCTGGCTGCTTCAGGCTCTGCCCTTTGATCCTCTGTAATATTTAACCAATCTGTTACAAGTCTGCGCTTTGCTACAGAAAACACTGACTTCATATTATTCTACTTCACTGCTGTTCTTTCATAAATCTTTTCATTGGCTCGATTTATGCTTTCTTTTCTTCATCATGCTAGCGCAGTGTCTATTAAAGAAACATGCATCACACTGTCTTGATGCTGAAAATTCGGTACCATGATATGATAGCTGATGATCCTGTTTAGTCTTGAATCGCATTCAAATGTCAAACTTTGAGTTGTTCCATGCGTAGAGCATTTCATGGAGAACAGCTGTATTTTGAGATAAAGCAGATATCTTAGAAAAGAGGGGGAGGGCAGACAAAAATAAAGTTTATTTAACATGTGCATAAGAAGAAGAAAAAAAGTGAAAAAGGACCTCTGCACCTGTTAACTGTGTGTGTATGTGTCTGTTTTATGTGTGTGTGTGTGTGTGTGTGTAAGCAGGTGTTAAGGATGAACAATACTAGCATGTCTGATACATATGGACTTCTTTAGCGTCAGAGGGAACGGGGTGTGTGTGTGTGTGTGTGTGTGTGTGTGTGTGCGTGCGCTCAGGGAGTATTTGCTCTCGAGGACACAGGGAGAGATCAGACGAAACCCAACTTTTCCAGCGCTCCATCTCCCTCTTACCGCTCATTTTTCCTCTCCGACTTCATTGTTCTTTGTCCCCTTCAACCTCGTCTTGTTAACGTACCCTTCCTGTGTCTGTGCCGCCGTGATGTGGCGCTGTCATCGGCTCTTCCTCATCGCTCCCTGCAACAAAGAGTTTTGTAGTATTTTTTAAATTTTTTTTTAACTCCTAAATGTCTGTCTTTGTGGTTGTATCTGTGTGCGTGTGAGGGAGCACAGCAGCAGTGCTGGGCTCAGAGTGTTTATTTACTGTGATGTGCTTGCTCGCTTCTTCAGCTCTGAGCAGACTGTCATCGCCGGGCATCATATTGACAAGGGAGAGACCAGTATGATTAATGACTGTCCTTTCTCTCCTTTGTTTTCTCTCCCTTTTCCTTGGTTTCCTTCCCCTGTCTCCACTTGTGTCTCTTTGGCTCGCTCCCGCCTCAGAGGACCTGGATGACCTGCGGATGGAGGGCGTGACAGGCTTGGCTCCATCCGGCAGTAAATTCAGCCAGGGACGCAGCTCCTATCAGCCTGAACCGCAGGCCAAAGTTACACTCAACATCTGCTCTAGGTGTGCCAGGTAAATGTTTCTACCTTCTCCTATCTGGTGCCTCGGAGAGAGATTGGGTTTAGGAAGAGAGATGGGTAGATCGATACCACTCTCATATCTGTTCAGTAAATATACAAGTGCAGCCAGCAGCCAGTTTGCTTAGCATGACATAAAGACAGGAAACAGGTGTAAACGTGAAGTTGCTCTGTTATAAGGGGGTAGTGTGCTTAGCTATTTTTTTTTTTTTTTGGCCAGGAGAGAGCCAGGCCAGCTGATTCTCCCTGTTCCCAGTCCAGTTCATGCTAAGCTAAGCTAAGCTAACTGGCTGCTGGCTCTAGTCCTATATTTACCAGACAGACATGAGAGTGGTATCAATCTCATCTCCAACTATTGCTTTAAGACGTTAATATATATGAATTCAAAGAATTTTTAGCTACACTGAAGTTGTGGCTCTCACTGTAATACATTTTTTTTTTTTTTCTCTTTCTACCATCCGACCTTATTGTTACACCGGGTCATGACTCCCACTTGTGCCCCACCCTCTTCTCCCCCATTTCCCTCTATTTGCATTTGTATCAAAGGTAGCATACCTCAACAGCCAAAACAGAGAATAATATCATATCTGAAGTGCATTCTGGTGTTGCTTGTTTTCACAAATGTGCTTTATCGCGGATAATCATCTCCATTATCACCCTTTCTGTCTCTATCACTATTTCTCTTCTGACACATTTCCTGCCCACCCCCTCAATCCACAGCATCAGTGTAGCGCTCAGATTTCTGTGTGTTGGGTGTGATACCACAGGCAGGTGTGGGCAGGACTCTTCCTTGATGCCAGTCAAAGATAAACGGGTATCTCTTCGATGAGACGCCAGGCACAAATCTGCCTGCACAGCCTCCTCTGTTTGGGGTTTGGAATTTGTTTGTTTCCTTCTCTTCTTTCATTCTCACTGCTTATCAGTTTCGTTCCACGCATAGGCTGCAGGATGTTGTCAGAGGTCCTGCAGGAGGATGAATGGTATCGCTGGATTTTTCTTTTTTGTTGGCAGTTTATCGACTGGATGTTTTTAAGCAAATAGTTTATACCTCTGGCATATCATTGAGTTCTCTGGTTGAATCAGTGGCAAAGCAAAGCAGCATCTGTATCTGGAGTCCTTTTTGGCGCTTGCACTGAGTTTTTTTTTTTTTTTTCCTGACTAAAATGTCAGACATCTGTTCTCCTTCTCTGTCTTCCTCTCTCCTTCTAGTTCAGGCCAAATTCTTGCTTCGTCCTCTTTAACCTGACCACCAAATCCTTCCCAAGTTTTACTGGCGAAGGAGTCGTGGTCTTTCATAGTCATTTTTGGTGAGCGAGAGGGTCATAAACAGATCAGTAAGCTGGAAAAGTGTTGCACGCATGGTATGCCTTTTGTGCTATTCTGGAGACACAGAATTCTGGAATCAGAGGTTGTGGAGGGCTCCGTGCATGCACACACACACACACACACACACACACACACACACACACACACACACACACACACACACACACACACACACACAGATATTCATGAATCCACACATAAAAACATGTGCATGCATGTCCTCGCACGCATACTGACAGAGTGTTGTGAAAAGAAGATGTGTGGGCAGAGGTCAGGGAGGAGTTTGGAGAGGGGCAATCTGAACAGAGACCTTATGCTTTGTGTGCATTAGCACCGTCTTGATGGGATTCACAGAAACACCTTTTCAAACATGGCTCCATATGCGGCCAACCTTGAAACTCGCTCCTCAGAAGACTAACATATGTGGCACCGTCGATGCCCTTGTGTTTCACACCTGCAGACAGTACTACTGTACAGATGTGACCTTGCAAGTTTTACACTTAAAGTTACTTTTATAGTTAATGTAGTTTGAAATTAAGGTCCAAGAAGACCGAGCTGTTTCTTTCTGATATTGTATAACTCTCACAAAGATAGTAGAGGCTTCCTTAGTTTTGCATGGATATGTGAACAATGACCCAAGTTGGACAAGCATTCCTCACATACCCATCACCTCACATTAAAACACACACATTAGAATTCAGCGCCGTTTCATTTTTTCTTTTTTCTTTTTTGCGTATGAGCTGTTGCGGGTCAGTGAGGTCCGTCACTCTGTGCATCAAACCTTGGTTGGAAAACATGTACACTGTATTCGATTCCCTCTAGTCATCTAAGCGGTCAAACAAGACGAAGCCACTTGGCTCGACCGTACCGCGTACCACCCAAAGCCAAGGAGAGGTGACGCTTACTTTCACACCCACAGCGTGAAGGCGACAACTCTGTTCCTCCCCAACAAGCTTTTATTCGTTCCCAGCAGCACTCATGAAGGTTACTGTGTTTCCCAGATCCACCTGTAACAGTACAGGTCATTCCAAGGAGGCAAGAGTCCTGAATGAATTATACGTCGATGACACAGTAACATCACACATACAAAAACAGGTTGAAGAAAACGTTTTTTTCAGAAAAACTCCCTTGAATTTTCAAATGAATCGTCAATTCATTATTACTAAGAACTGCGTGGCAATAACGCGTTTCTTTTTGAACTTGCTGACCCTGTAATGAAACTGATCCCAGCCTCGTTAGCCACCTTTCTCAGCCTTTATCCTTTTCCTTCCCTTCTGTCCAGACACTGTCCACACCAGCGAACAGTCCAGTCAGCCTGTGTGGCTCCTAACTAGCAGTGGCAGGTCAGGAAACACGCTGCTTCCTCTCGCTCTCTGCTGGTTGGTTGAAGTGTAAAGTGCCATGTGGCCTGTGTGTTGTGGCCATGTCTCTGTCTCTTGGGCTACAGCTGTGGTCGCACCAGCATTTCATCCACCTCCTTCATGCATTCGATCAGTTCGTTTAATGGCTGTGTGCTCCTGCCACAAAACCTCCTGTGTGCAAACGCATCCCAGATCTTGGGCATAGTCCGGAGCAGTTGGCGGAGCTGTCCAAGGAAATGGATAGATCTCCTCAAACCTCTTTTGGGCTTGTAGTTCTCATTAAATTAATTGCTTTCATATCAGGAATGTACTGAGGGAATAGTAGTCAGGACTTGCGGCTATGAGCAGCTTTTGTTCAGAGAATGGGAAGGCCTTGTGATAGTCATCTTGGGTACTGCTTAATGGTCTTATAAAGACCATTAAAGAGAAGGAGAGACAAGGAGAGGGATGTATTAAGAAGGAACGAAATAGAATACACTTTAAAAAGCAGTTTTTTGCTTTTACCCTCATGGTAGAGGTAGAAATCAAGAGGCCCTGTGGCTGTGAGGGAATGCAGCCGTGCCTCGAAAGTGTATGAATTACTTTCTTTTGTCTCCAGCTAACGGCTGCACTGATGACATGGAAATAACATGCAGCGCAAGAATTTGGAGCTAAAGTAGTGTGTAATTACAGTTAATATGCGGTATGATTTACAGTCCTTAAAATATGCTTTAGAAAAATAAATGCCGGTTTAATTCCATTCTGTTGTCGAGAGTGTGTGAATTAGTTTGTAGAAGAGAATAAATGTAGTGAAAAGCCTCTTGTAACATGTTTATCTTCCTGTTTTAAGATGCATTTCAATTGCTGATTGTCTTTCACCCACAGTGAACTTCCCTATCTAAGGGAAACTTAAATCTTTTAATACCGAGACAACCAAATCTCTCAGACCTGCTTCCATTTCAGTTCAAACAGATATCTCTGTAAAAAAAAAAAAAAAAAAAATGCTTGGAACAGATCATGATAAAGAACAGTAACTGAAAGATTTAAGGGGAAGCAGAATCTTTCAGCCAGTTTTTCAGTTTTGCTTTTTTCAGCAAGCTTCTGAAACAAGTGAGCCGTGCACAGTTTTATTCTGTGCACCATATGTCTGTGAATGCATTACTATGGTTTCATTTAAAAGAAGGGACTATTTCACATATAACTTGAGAAGCAGTGATGACAAGATTTGGTTTGTGCCCCAGATGTGACCCCATGTTCCTCCTTTCTTGGTACCATCCCAGATTTTTCAAAAGAAGAGATACTGAACTCGCTAAACACTTCCTCTTTGTCTCATCACCTCAGACTGATAGCGACTTGCTTGCTTTTTTGTTATCTGACGTTCAGTTTCCAAACATGTGTTGTAATGTTGTGGCTGAAAAATGCTGATTTGAGAGATTATCTAAATGTACTCTGTTGCCAATGCGTACAGTAGTGTATACGTGTTACGTGTTGTTTCCAGGTTGCAGGGGGACAGTCTATCAGACAGTCGATCTGAAGAGGAGCACAGGCCTCACATATCTGAACAAGCTGTACCTGACATCTCCTGTAAGTTGTGTAACGCAGTTCAAATTCAAAGTAGTTATTTTTTTCTGCCTCTTTTGGCATTTTTGTGGTCTCATGTTCTGCTCCCTCTCTTCCTTCGTCTTTTTTTTTTTTTTTTTTTTTTTTTTTTCCTGTTTATGTGTGTTGTCTGGAGCAGCTCCATTGCCCGGGGTGGACACAGTGGCGGGACGGTTGCAGGAATGCGAGGCCTCGTCTCAAGTGTCGGGCTCTGTAAGTGTCCTCCCTACATCCATCACCAAACAATTAAGATCACTATACAACCATCAGTTACCACGTCACTCTCTCCTCCGCCTCTATTGTCTGAGAGTGAGCGAAAACCACCTCAAGCTTCTTGTTAATAGGACAAGACCCAAGCAAAACTGATACATCTTGATGTGGGCATTTCAGCTTACACAACAGTTGATAGTGCTGAACAATTGATACCCCAATTAGAAATCTCCCTGTATCACTTTGCTTACCTCTAAGGGCACTGAAAGGAACAAATGAAAAGCATATCTAGTGACACAGCGAGAGTTGAGGCTGATTCAGACGTTTTATACAATAGAGCTAAATATTTATGGGTTATAGGAGCACACACAGTTTTGTTCAATAGGACTGTGCGATAACCTCACACGCTTCAGGGAAGAAATCTATAGAGGCCCACTGTAGCACGCACCAGACTCAGACACAAACACTCACATGTTGTTCATAAAGCGGTCAGCTAAGACGCCTGTACCTTTTTGTATAATCACTCCCCCACCCCCCCAAAAAAAAGGCAATACCTTTTTTATAATTGCCCAATCTAAGTGTTAGACAAGGCTTTTTACAGCACTTTTTAAAAGAAAGAAAGAGGTTTGGAGCCAAGGCATTGCTCCGTGTGTGGAGCAGATGCAGAGAGGCTCCAGACTAACTGGGAGCAGACTTTCACAGACTGAGGGACCTGTTGAATCAAAGCCTCTAGTCGGAAGTCTGACGGATTAGACCAAACGCAGGCAAGACACCATCCAGAAATTAGAGAAACTCTGGACTTTATAACATCAAACTGCATATTTTATTCTCACTTTCCTATTTTATAAACCGGCTTTTAGACAAATGCGTATAACTGTTATGTAACGGGTGAAAAGGTAATAGACTGTTTCAGTTTCCAATACCAAATAACATCTTTTTTCAGAGATTCCAGCTAAACGATTTAGCTTTCAACTAGATATGTTTTCTCTCTTTACCACTGACCTTCACATCCACCCGGAGCCTCTACTTTAGCTTTATAAACCAAGGGACTAAACACTCCATCCACTTCTCCATAGGTTAAGCCTTAAGAACAAGCTACTAATATGTCCCATATGAAAACCGCAAGCGCAGACGTGTCCTGTCACCTACTGTCGTGCATGTGGTTGTTTTGTGTTTACTTGCTTGTGTTTGGCTCTCTTTGAAAGGCAAAAACTACCTGTAATAGCTTGTTAGTTTAACTGGTCCTTTCGGGGGCTTGTGGGCCACAATTGCTAAAGGCTACAGAAAACAAATGTGATGCTTTTATGAACAATGTTTGAAATAATAATAACTGTGTTCCCTATTTCTTTAAATGAACTCATTATATCTCCTGCTGCTACTTGTGTATATTTAACATGTATTTAAAAAGTGAGGACACAAGCGTTCTTTGCATTGGGAGAAAAGTGTCCAGTTGTTTCCTCACTCGCCGCACTAATTATTAGTGTTAAAGAAGGCATGCATGCAACTTTGTCTCGGTTTAAAGGTTTGAAGTCGTATTTTATTATTAGCACATTTCATCATGTACGACTGTCAATAAATGTAGTATGCCTTGAATTGTATATTGCCCTGGTTTGGGCAGTAAAAGCTTGGTGATGTTGGAAAGTAAACACTGTTAATGGTTATCATTATTAGTCCGACAGGCCCCCTGCCTCTGCCAGCTCCTTTAGGTGATAATTGCCTCATAAAGACAAATACTTTCCTAAAGCAATCGCCAGAGCAAATTCCCCAAGAAATTCTTCTACAGTTTCCTTTGTAAGTGTTAAGTGATATGTTTTAATCAAATTTACCTTGTATGGGTGTTACCATCATAAAGTCTGCCAGGGGAAACTGTTCATTTGTACGGTCGAAATAAGATAATTAGTGTGATGCAATGCCAGGTGTATGATACAAGGCAGAGCCATTGTGATGGTTTATTTCTGTTTCCAGGGGAATTTGAGTTTGGGCCAGGGGTAGTCTGAGCCGATACACTGTATGGCTTTTTATATTTGGCACCAGTCTGCTCCCCACACCTCCCAAAGTTATACATGCAATGTTATCCTCTGAGCAAATCTCTGTTCTTTACTATATATGTATCTCTAGTGCAGTTTTCTGCCCCAAAGGTTGTTTAGGATTTATAGATTTTCCATATTAGTGGTTTTCCTTAATTTGTCATCTGTGCGCTATGGCCTTACACGTTGTTAAAATAAAACAACCAGTCTAACAGTCATGGTAAAATAGTTTTTGGGCTGCATGGCTTGTTATGTTAGCTTACTTTTCAATATAAAATAGCTATTATGTTCATTTTCTAAATACACCTAGAGTTGTGTTGCAGTTCTAATCACCACGATTTACTATTTTATTTTATCCCAAAACTCCATTAGTGGCTCTGCAACTTTTAGGGTCCAACATGCACCTAAACCTAAACAATAACCCTCACTAAACATTACTGCTGTTTATCTGGCAGAGTCATGGTCATTTTGACTGTATATACTGTTACAGTGTGTGTACATCATACTGTAATAGTGAACAGCGTAAGAAACTATTTCAATAGACTTATGAGTTTGTTTTGTATAGTATCAAAGTAAAAGCCCAATAGTAAATGCAGTGGGGAGGTTAGTGAACTTTATATTATTTGAATATACAAGTTATTATTTTTTATGTGGCACACACCATTCGGCTCATATTTGAAATATTTATGACCATGTGTGTGCACTATTTGGCACTTAAAATCCAATCTAGCTGCTTACAAATGTATGTTCAGTTAGTAAGATGGTTTATTTCTTTCTTCTCACCTTACTAATTGAACATTATTATTTCCTTTCATTGGCTGTCTCCTAATTTTTAACCCTTTTGCACTTTCTTTTGGCGCAACACTTTAACTCTCTCTGTTGGTTGTCCTTCTCTGACTGGGGGACAGGCAGTGTGTCATACAACCCGTCCTCGAAATGCTTGAATAGGAGGGTAATTATGTGTTATTGTCAATATCCTCTCTGCTTTTGGCCGTGCTAACACAGTGGTTGGGCCCATGAGCTGGTGAGCTCTGTATATAGTCCATAAAATCCATTAGGTGTTTCTGCTGTGAGCCAAGACAAAAGGAACTCATTAAAAGTTGAGTGTTACCCCTCACATCCCATATCCTCCAACGGCCATGCAAGCTGGAAGGGGCTTAAACAGCTAAATCAGTTATTTGGAAAACATAGCATCTCCAGTTTCTTACAATTGAATTTATTGGATCAACCCATTTTAGGAACTTAATGTGGAATATAGATGAAATAGGAAAATTTTAAATTGTTTTATTTTATTTTTTTTCTTTTGCACCCCAGAGTCCAGGAATATATAAATAAATAATCTTGTAATGTCCCGTTACATACATTTGAACATGTTTTAAACAAGAAAATATAATACAAGTGGCTTAGGGTCATGTGAGTGAGAGAGTTTGATCTCTCCCTGCTAATCAGAGACTGAGAGATAACACAGTGTTACAATGCACAATGTTCTCTATCCAGTACATGTGCAGATCAAATCCTTATGCTGACAAAGATGCCCTCTGCCAGGATGTTCTCTTCTTCACTCGGGTATCAACCCATCCTGCACCTGATTGAAAAGAATCAGTACTTCCTGTGCTGTTACTGATCTCTGCTCTTGACTTTTACATTTTGGAAGTTTTTCGAATTTTTAATCTTGGAGCGTAAACTGAGCCCATGAGATGCGTGCTCTGGCTTTGCTATGCCTAAGTGGCAGTCATCCAGAATTTTTAAAAGTGCAGTTACATTTACAGTATAAGTCTCGTTCGGTTTCAGTCTTAAAACCCAAAAGGAAAAGTTTATTTTTAAAAGTTAGATGCTGTTGGTAAGATGGTTGCTGCAACATCACGAGGACTGAAAACCTTCACTGTATAGTGACAGAAAAATGTGCAAGGTGAAGCTCAAGCAACTGTAGCACAATTAGTCTTTTAGACCCATGTGTAATGCAGTCCATGATGCACAAACACATAGATAGATAGATAGATAGATAGATACTTTTATTTATCCCCTAGGGGAAATTCAAGAAACAGTCTTGTAGAATAGAATAGCTTCTTTTACCCACAGCATTAAGTAGCTCCAATTTGTGTCAAATTGCCCAGGTAAAAGTCTAAAATAATAAGAAATGGGAAATACTGCAGACCTGTATGTGTTTTGTTGTATATATATGTGTGTGTGTGTGCGTGTGCATTCGTATGTATGCACTAGTCCCTTCGTTACCCTGGCCTGACCACAACAAGAGAGTCCATCAGTTGTGCTTTGCGAAGCCAGCAGTAGGCTCAAACCTCCAACCCAGCCCAGCCATGTTTGAGGTCTGTGACTGCATGCACACATCCCAAACAGTTCTTGTTGTGTGGAGGGCAACGTTGGACCAAACCCCAGATTGTGGTGATTATTACTGGTGACCACACACGTATAGCTGCACACATGCAGGCTATAAAATATTTAACTCTAGACTTCCATCCTCTCTCTTTCTGTCTTGTTTGCTCTCAACATGGAATCAATTTTGCAAGAAACAAGATCCATGTTTGTTAGTTGGGCAGGAGCATCACCAGAGGGTTTTTCCCCTTCCCTCTTTTAGGTCTTTTAGTTTTGTCATAGTGGGAGGGAGATTATACAACTTGGGTTTTGCGCCACTGACATTAATATACTCGTAAGTCATTGCAAAATCATAGCCACGCTTTATTTTGGAGATGAAAAGGCATTCATCTCATCTCTTTGTCTGTGTAGATTAAAGCATCCAATCTAAGCATCCATACAATGGAGGAAAAAAAAAAAAAAAAAAAAAAAAAAGTTTGACCCATCTCATGTCATAGAGTACATTGTCTCAGATAAGGACAATAGCTGCTTCAAACCACGGTGAAGGGAAATCACTTCTCATCACTTCATTGTTTCTCTTCAGTGTCTAATCAGGTCCATCTTTTGTTTAGTTTTTTTTTTTAGTTTTTGCCCCTATTTACCACATAGAGCCATTCTGTTTTGTAGGTTTTTTTTTTTTATTTCATTAAGCTACACTGTGCATGTTGACGTCGTCCCGGTGACTTTGTAAATATGTATGATTTCACCAAACTTGATGAAACATATTTTGATCGAAATGTCTGTTTGTTTATTGATGTTATCTGAGGAAGTGAATTGCTTGCAGACTCGGTATATCCTGTTTGTTTACCTAGCCACAGGACTCTACGGTACCACCAAGCCTCAGCCTCCAGTCTGCACTCTCCTGGATATATGGTCCTGATTACAGGATAATCTTTCCTTTAGTGGACTGAAGAGCTTTAGGGCAGTAGCAATGCAAATGCTGCACTATGGATATTGCTGATAAGAATAAATCTATGCACACCAACTGGTCTCATGAAGTGAGGCTGGGCTTTTTTTTAAGGTATCACAATAAAGTGGATTTTATTGGAATCAAGGTGAAACCAGGACATGGATTTTGTAGCAGTCGCACCTTTATACACTGTATAATAACTTACAGTATAATAAAGATTATACAAATACATTTGGGGATCTGTTGGTGGCCTTGTTTGTTATTGCTGAGCAGACCCAGAGCTAGAGGAGGACAAGATGAAGTCATGCTATTGGATTTGGGGGGATACCACCAAAGAGAGAGAAATTAAGTTGGGGAGGGGATTCAGTTAGAACGCTCATCCCGCCTTGCTCCTTTATGAGGGCTGTAATTAAGGATTGGCTTGTGGTGTTGTGGTTCTGCCGCCACAGAACGCCTCATGTATCTGACACACAAAGATCAGTGCCACAGACCCTGGGAATCATGTTCTGTCATTTATCACAGGATAGTTGCTTCACTTGTTTTCCACCATACCTCCTCTTTGGAAAGACTGTTCAGTCCACTTTGAAGCCTGAAAATCGTAAAACGAGGAGCCCGTCACATCCCAGGTTTGTGTTGAAAGACTGCACTGTATGTACATCACAGATCTCCCAGAGCCTTATTCTGTGTCAGCACTTTGTCAAATCAAGTCAGTCTCTCATTAAGTGCTTAGCACATCAAATGATGTAAGTCCTGGCATCAGTGGTATCATAACTTACCTAGTGTAAACCAAACTTGCAGGAAGGTGGAATTATGTCTGACAGGTTTTATTTCTCACCTGTGCCTGGAGCTCGTGTGCACTTGGTCCATTGGCTTAACAGATCATCTGGCCACTTGTGTCCCATCATAGGAATAAATAGGAGGATTAGGCACGCTGCCATTACAGGACTTGGCAAACCCCAGTCTGTCTAACAGGTCCCTTTCCAAATCATACGCTTGGCCAGGAAGAGGTAGGAGCAAAATAGGCGAGAGCAGCCACTATTACTGATCCTATCTGCCTTTTTAGACTTTCTTTTTATTTCCTATGCTTTAGAATACGATCGTCTTTACTTTTGTATAATACCAATATCATGTGCACTTAGGAAACTATCCAGAATGACTGATTTATTGTTCCTTAACTACCTTTGCAAGATTTGCTGCTGTCAGGCTCTTGGCCAACAGACTAGTGCTCATACATGCTCCTATAGATTTACTGAAAGTTATACAAAAAATTCCTGAGCCACTACTGAAAGTCTTACATCCCACATTCACTAAACACAGTGCACTGCACGCTCTGTGCTTTCATCTACACTTGTTGTGGTTTCTTGTGTTTTTCTAAAGCCCATAAAATAATAATTGCCTCTTTCTTTCCAGGAGATATGGCTCAGATATTTCCACCAATAGCTGAAAATAATATAAAGAGTTAATTGAAGGGTCTTTCTTCTAATGTGACTTTCTCTCTTCTGTGTTCTCCTTGCTAACTAGCGTCAGGCTGTCTGGGAGGCTGATCTGAAGGCTGTGAGAGGTGGGAGCTCTGCCGGGCAGACGGGCCTGCTACTGGGTGACTCCCTCTTTTCTAAAGAGCTGGAGAACATGGGCAAACAGCTCGCTGGTAGGCAGCTTTGTGTATGTGTATGTGTGCTGTGCCTTTGTGTCTGTATGAGTTGAGTTTGTCTATGTACGTATTGGGGGCTTTAGTGATGAATTGTACGGGGAAAGTCCAATCAAATACTTTCTTTGGAATACAGAACATAGTCTACACTGAACTACAGAGATGTCTGAAATGGAAAGGGCTGTAGGGAGCATTTATGAGGAGTGGGAGGGGGAGAGTCTAGCCAAAGAATGCACCGCTTTTGGCCAAAGGATTTTCTTGGATAATTAAAAAGTTAAATGTGTCAAGACTAAATAGAAAAACTAATTAAAGTAATTTCCACATGCCAGGAATTTATCTGAGCTCCAGCTTTGACAGGTTCAATCAGTAAGCCGAGCTCTGCTGAGTCATTTGGAAATGATCGAAGCTGGAGAATGGCTTTGTCTGACAAAGTGGCGTTTTGGAAATCATTATTCCGAGTGTAGTGATGCTTGTCTTTGATATATGTGACGTCTGTGTGACTCAGACTGCTTTTGTTGTCATAATGATCAAGTACGTATTCGCTTATGAATCAGATGAAAGCCTGGGACGGCGGCCAGAGGGAACGTCGCCATTCGCCGTCATGTGTCACCCACTTGCTTGTTTATGCATGTCCTCCCCCTCTGTTTGACAGTGTCACTGTGTGTAAAGACTTCGTACGTGCCTTCACATACCAAGCTTATTTGAAGCATATTCATCCCACTTAGTGAACCTATTACTGTCACCCAACAGTGGTCCCAGCTGCAACAACCTTCTCAGTTCATCTGCACATCAGCACTGAAAACACCGGTTGCCTCTGTGAACACGGTACAAAACAGCAAACTGCCGCTCAGGACCATTTGTGTTAACAACACACTAACTTTCCCCCAGAGGTCCTCAGATGGCATTGATTGTTTTACAACGAGATACTGCATATTCAGGCTTAGTGCTCCCACCAGGCATCTCAGGGAAGCTGTTCAACAAGCTAATTCAACTCTTTCAAGCCTTTACTAGCTGCTAATACTTTCCTTGTTTGGAGCCAGAGCCTTATTTTTCATCTCAAATCATTACCCCAATTCTATGGTTGTGCAATCATCCCTTGTTTCCTTTTTTTGTGATGAAAGGAATCTTTTTTTTTTTTTTTTTTTTTTGATAATACACGCATAAATTATTGCTCACTGAATTTGTCACTGAAGGATGTTAAGTACAGTTTGATTTGAGTTTCACCTCAGGGTGGGTTTTGTTTTAAAACGTCTGCTGTTGCTGATACAATTCACTGGTTTTGGAAATTATGAACGTATTTTCAATCCCTTTTGCCATTTCACACAGACATGCCATATTGCTCTACGCATCAGTGTGTAAGAAGTTGCTAAACAAGGCTAACAAGGCTAACTTTACCGAGCATTCAATGCCAGCTTTTGATTTTTGACACTTTATGATGCTACATATATATTTATGGTCAAAAAGTAATGAGGTTCAATAGTTACACCATATTTGAAATGTGTACTTGTGCCCATTTTTGTTCTAATCCAAGGACAATTGCTGGTGCTTGAATTTCTCCAGGCAAGCAGTATGTTGTACCGTTGCAAGCCTGCAGCTGAAATACAGACAAATGATATGTCATTAGTGCATTCGTTTATTTTCAGAGAAGGGACCTAGTAAAGTTTGCATGAGTTCTAAATGGTTGTATGGCGTGCTCTGGCCCTGTACTCTCTCACCACGTGCAACTGCTGCTTGATCAAAGAGTTTAATAGATTAGATCTGTTTCCATTTGTTCTTGTCTCCTTTTCTCTGTCTCATTTTCTCCACGTTTTTCCTCTTCCTATTACCGAATGATTGGATCAAAACCTATCAAAGATTTCTACCATATGGATTTTGATGGTAACTCTTTGATCTGCAGGAGCTGTCATTATTTATCAGTGTCTGTGAGATGGCTTGTAATATTTCTGTGCTAAACACGGTCAACTGCACAGAATTTTAAAGTAAAGCTGCATATGACAGGCCTCTTATTAATGCCAGGAAGTCAAGGGAAGCAACTGGTTTACGATAAAGTCATGAGTGGACCAGCCATTTAAGGAAGGGAGAATGATTTTCATAACAAAAACATGTGGTGTTTATCATTCAGCTGGTAAATAACTTGAGATTAAAAAATCAACTTTATGGGAACAGATTACTAATGAACATATCCTGTTTACGATATAATAATAACACCAGTCATGGTGGACAGGGTGTGTGCGGTTAAGGGTTTAAACCGGGAAATCACTGAAGTACTTGCCCCTCAGCAGGTCTTACGGTTATGATCTCACTGTTATACAGATTTTCAACCTTATAACAAAGCCGCTTTATGGTTTCTACTATAATGTTATACACTGCAGTCCCGCCACTTCCACAGGCTGATGTCATGATATGCCCTGAACACCCCAGAGAGTTCATTTTCTTTCAGCTTTTCAGTCAGAGTCAGTCAGAGTGAGGCCAAGCTGCGACCTGTACCTTCACTTTTCTCTCTTATTATTTAGAGAAGTAACATGTGTACAGTGTATTAGGGTTAAAGCAACACAGACACAATGTCATGCAGTGTATATGCAAGTCGCCGAGCACATGGTCAAGGCAGTATTCAGTAAGTGCTCTGCAATGTATCTCACTGTAAAGGTCAACCTCCATATAATCAGAGCTGATTAAGCACAGAAACAGCAATCTAATTATCCATGTCAGAGCATTGAATGTATTTGATCCCTCAAGTATTGTATACAAAATAGTCTGGAATAGATTTCAAACCAACCCAGTAATGTCCCAAAGCTGCATCCAGAGTAGTGTTGCAGGCGTTCTCTGCTTTGCATACTAAATGGATAGTTGTCAGTGAATAGGGAGCATGTGTTTCACATTTTAGTGTGGAAAAATGTTGTTTGTAAAGGGCGAAAGCACCATTTGCTCAAAAACAAGGGAGTCAAGGTTTGTGAAATACTTGTCATGCTTCCTTTTGTTACTTATTTAACGTCACACATATACAGTTTTCCAGAAATACTCACAGCTGATGAGTCATCCCTGAAATTATCCCTCTCAAATGATAACTCCCAGACTGGTGTGTTGAGTCCTGATTGCCAAGATCTGGAACGAAAGCATGAAACACGGAAAAAATGACCCAGATGTTGATCACAGAAGTTGGCAGCGTCACTTCTTTTACAAACAGAAATGTTTTTGAGACTACCAGTGAGGCAAACAAATGTGCTTTTGTCAGGAACAAGGAACAAAAATATTACCAGGCTGTGCTTACTGTATATCAACTTGGAACCTTTTCTGACAGAGGAAGTTGGATTCACCACAATTTACAGGGTCTATAAATATTGTCATCATTGCCCAGAAGAAGGATTAAACCGAGCAGTCTCGCCCACTTTAATGCTCTGTAAAGTTTGTGAATCATCAGTGCACCAACCTCCACATCCTCTGAATATGTAATGAAAAATAAACCTGACTCTATCAAGGAATCTCCTCGTTCATTTGCGTTATCTGGTGTAAAATGGTACAGGTATCATTGTCAAAATCCAGTTCAAAAATATGATTTAAAATCTGGTAACTACACCAACTCACTTGTTCAGACTGTGTATGTGTTGACTGTTTTGAAATTTAAAATATGATGATCTGGATTCTGACTTGGATTATGTCCCTTTTTTTTTTCCTGCAGAGGTTGAGAAGGATCTGGCCAAGCTGGCAGAAGCAGGGAAGATGACCACTCGGAGCTCTAACAATCTGCACAGTAGTCTGCTCCACACCCCTCTTCACCACAGAACGCTGCCCGACACGCTTCCTCTCCCCAGTCTGGTCTCCAGGCCCCAGTCTCCAGCTGGCAGCCTCTCAGGCAAGCCCTGTGGCGTGGGTCTCCCTTTGCTGAGCCCCAAGCCCACCTCCCTGGTCATGGGTCGGACTCAATCTCCCAGCAACCCTGGGAGCAGGACTCAAACCCCCCGAACACCCAGCAGGCCCCTGACGCCAAATAGTTTACTGACACGCTCCACCTTTAACCCTGGATCTCATAAAGAGGTGACCTTCAGGAGGTCGCGGAGCCGTCCTGTCACGCCCACGAGTCAGCCAATGCATCCCCGACCGCTGCTCACCCCTCCTGGGCTAAGCACTACAGACAGCCTTGGTGCCAGCCTACGGGCCTATCTGTCTGAGGTAAGACTCCAAATTGAGAGATATACCTTTATCATCAAAAACATATTTTTGCTCACTGTGGTGTAAGAAGTGATGTAAGCAGAAGTGCACGAAGGCGAAGTCGCATTGTGGAAGCATTGCCTTCACAAACTCCGTTCTGACACAGACACAACTGGGTGGTCTTTGTCAAATGTACAGCAAAAAAAGCAAAAAGGAAAAACTTTAAATCGTTTTTACACGTTTAGTAATGGAGCAAGTGTCAGTGCTGTAACTGTTATTTGTAAAGGACCGGTTTAACATTTTGGAAAATACGCTCATTTGTTTTTTCTGGTGGATGTTTATCGAAGATCGATACCACTCTCTTATCTGCCCATTAAATACACAGCCAGCGTCAGGACAGAGTCATCTTAGCTGACTTTAGAGACTGAAATTAGCTAGCCTGGCTCTGTCAAAATGTAATCACCCTCTAACACCTGTAAAACTCACTAATTAACACCTTATGTCTCTGTTTAATCTGTACAAAAACAACAGAAGTGTAGAAAGATTCACTGTGTCACTGTAGGAACTGTGCCTAGCCAAGCAATAGCCATTCAGATTACCCCCCCCTCCCCTTTTTTAACCTTTGGCCGGAGACAGGCTTAGCTGTTACGTCACGCTTCTAGTCTCTATGCTAAACTAAGTGTCTTCTGGCTGTGGCTTCATATTTAATGGACAGACATGGCAAGTGGCATTGATTTCATGTAACTGTTGGCAAGAAAGCGAATAAGCAAAGTTTCCCAAAATGTTGAACTACCCCAGAAAATGTTACATTTTAGAGATTTCTTACATGTAAGATTTATCTAGGAATAAAACAGATCAAGTACACCCAGACTGTGTAAAACATGAAGTCAAATTGTCATAAACTTTGGGTCAAGGACTCGAAAATGAATCCAGCTTTACTATAACGTTTTAGTGCGAGTGAGAGCGAACGTGTGCGCTGAGTGGCAAATAGGCTCGATGCCTAAGTAAAGCTGGCTGTAGAACACGAGAGCCTTTACACAGAGAGATTATGACTGTGAGCACCAGAACACACAATATCACACATGTGCATACCCTCACAAACACAAATACACTCTTCGTGTGGGGTTTAGTGGAGAGTCACGGAGGTCTGTACAGTAGTATGTCATTTCACTGTGGAAAAATGAGTCTGGCATAAAAGGGGAACTTTCAATGGGATTTCTTTCTTATATTCCTTTCATGATCTACTTAACAGCAGTGCTGTTAAATATGAGACCTTTTTGAAGGCTTTATTAATGGTGGGCAGGAATTTTGCAGTCCCTCTGTATACTTTTTTTTTTTTTTTTAAACACTAGTTGACACCTAGTTTGATTATCCCAAACGCTGCACCCAGTCTGGTTTTATTGAGGCCAGCTGGTCCCATGTAGACTGAAGCCTCTAAATGAGGCCTATACGGAGAGTGAAGGAATACTGTGTGTGTGTGCATGTGTGTGCGTGTGTGTGTGTGTGCGTGTGTGTCAGCTTTTGACATCTGTGTTTGAAAGTTTAATTGGGGATTTTGTACAATTCAGTTTTCTGACCTGTCGCTCCTTCTCATGGAGTCACTGCAACTTTATGTGTCACACCATTAGAACCTCAGACAGGACCAAGACAACATGTATCTGTTTGAATGAGAACACACTCAAAGATTGGATTAGCTTTGATGTTTGAAATCTATAACAGTCAACTAAGATCTCGCAGCTGGATTAAACATACAGTACATGTAGAGAGATGAACAGGTTGATAAATAAACTGACAGACTGATTCTCTTTTTCTAACCTCATTTTCCATCTCTGTTTTCCTCTGTCCATTATCTACATGAGTAAGAATTCTCTTCCATCATTGCTGTTCTGTTATGTTCCATTTCAGGATGAGTTTTACCAGCAGTTACAGGCCATCAGACAGCCCTGGCATATTCCCAGTGACACAGACAGTGACATCCTGGAGCCTCCTGAGCAGGATAAGAGTGAGTGACCTACCTAGCTCTTCCTTCCTTCTCTATTTACTTTTTTTAAACTTAACATTGTTTGTCATCTCCTGTTTCAGGTGCCCTTTCCGAGAGCGAGGAAACATTCAGTTTCTCAAAGCCTGTCAGTTAAAAATACATTTCTCTGGCTAATTGCCATAATGTTTTTACCTTACCACAGTATTTTTTTTTCTTTGCAAGATGTGAGGCTCATTTCATTACAGTAATGCCACTTCACCACAGTGAATAACTAATGCATTAAAGTGGCAATAGATCTATTAAAAATTGACGATTAATGTGCAAGTATTCCTTGTAAAATTCTGAGATGGAGCACAAGGGCTGCCGCATAAAAAGTTCAATATTTCACAGTTGGGTGAAATCCCGGGGGGTGTCATACAGGGGAAATGTCATGTAAAATTTCCCTTCCTGGAACCATGTAATGGATATATTTCTATCAAGATGCAGTCGATAGACATGAACAGCACTAGCCGGAAAGTCATAAATCCTGTTGTAGTAATGGTCTGGTTGATATACAGTGCAGCATATTAGTCCGGCTTTGAACACGACAGAACTAGATCAGACCTCCTTGAATGTTCTGGTCCATAAATCACATGAATGTATGTGGCAGTAAGGTCCGATGGTCAGAGGCCTGCCAGAGTGAAATTAACAGTAGTTCTCAATTCACTGAGGTCAACTAACAAACTGTCAAATTTATGCTCTCTTAACATTGGTTAACATATGACTAAACTTCTGAGATCCTCTGAGATGTTTAATGTTGAATTTATACTGTAGCCGCACTAAATGAAAACTAACTTATGTAAATATTCCATATTTTTTTACAGAACAGGTCTGCTGTGTGCGGTAGGGAGATGTTGGACAGAAGAAATAGCACACTGAGACTGTTGCTAGTCTTAGAGCCTTACCAGTTGTTAGTGGTGTAGTGGTGCCTGGAGAAGTGGTGTACTCTTAACTATACTCTTCTCGATGCCCCAAAGGTTTTTAAAGCGTCCCACCCAGCAAAGGATAAACGCCCTGTGTCATAAACAATGACATGTAAGACTACTCTTGTATATTCACTTTACCCAAAAATGGCTCAGTATTATTTGCACATTGTCACTTAACGTCTGTTGCATGAATTCAGGGAGAGAGGATCATTAAATGAATAATGATAATGATAATTAACATTATCTACAGAAGAGATGAAGATTTGGCAATCAGTACTGTCCCACAGACTGTAGGGTGAGACAAAGGGAACTATTCCTTATTCCTTAGTCCAGCAAGTGATTTCTTTTTTTTCTTTTTTTTTTGGCAAAGTGAAGGCATGACCGTCTCTACTCTGCCTCTGATTGGCTTACCCTGATATTCTTGCCTTAACCCTAACCAAGCGTCACTCCTCGTGCCTAAACCTCCCTCGCCACCCTAGGAAAAAAAAGTTTGACTTGCAGCACACAAAGTTCTTTGACACTAAATGATGCGCATCAGAGGGCATGTAGAAGTGGGTAGACACAATGCAGACTGAAAAATGCGTAGGTATATACTGTATACCTATGTATGACCTGCACACCACAATTGCCAGTCGGACAGAACATTTGTCCACATCTTGCCACTGAAGGAAAGGTTTTGAAGTCAATAAAATCAATAGGGTTTATCCCCTTGGAAGCATGATTTTGCTCTGCAATTTTCATGACCATATCAGTGTTATTAGATCATGAGATACTGTGTGCAAAGTTTATTATTTGGCCTAACATGCTGCAAACAGACGCTCACGGAGTGTCCAAAATGTTCATCCTCTGGGATATCTCGTGGTTGTGCTTGTCACAGTATGACCTGATCAAAATTCGGAAACTAAATTTCACGGTAACCTAGCTCGTAGTTCTTAGGACATATCGCTCTGGAGAAATGTGCAGGACGGGCAGACAGACCTGTGGCGTTCATTGACGAATTCATGTCCAAAAATGACACATTCAATACATTCAGAAATGTTTTCAAAACAACTTAGCCCTGTTTTTTCTCAGTAAACAAAGCATCAGCACCAGCTACTCAAACTGAAAACCAAGTGCATGTGGGACTTCATTGACGTTATGAAACAAGAATTCCAGTCAAACAAAGATCAAGCAGGCAAATGGTTGTCACATGGAAATATAACCCCTCTGACAAGTTTCTCTAGAGGGTCATTGTTTTGCTAAATGTGTATCTTGCAAAATAAATGGATAAATTTTCGTAATAGCCCCTGGAGGCTTGCTTTAATCCTTGGCAGCAGTAATGGCATGTTGAGAAAGGATATGAGCCACATATTGAATTAGAGGTGGCTTAGACACAGGGAGAGGAGACTGACAGAGAAAAAAGACCCAACAGCCACAAGACGTGACAAAGCACTTTCTGGCGTGAGAGAGGGCCCACAGGACTCTTTGCTGAAATCTGGTTCGTGTGTCTTCGGGTGTGCGCATGTTTATGTGTGTTTGTTAAACATGTGAGTGATTGTATTAATCTGGGAAGACATTAAAATTGTTTTCATGGAGCATTTTTGCCCCCTTAATTTTTCAGTCTTTTCAGGGGTAGTTGTTTCACCTATGAAATAATACTGTTGAATCACATTGTGATTTTCTTATTTTCAAAAATTATAACCTGCAAACAGAGGTGCAGGGCAACTGCTTTAGCCTGTTACTTAGAAAGTTTCCAATCAAAATTACTCAGTTTCCTCTGACAGGAAAAGGTAAGGAAGAAAAACAAAAAAAAAACATCCTGTTTCTTGACTCAAGAGCATTTTAAACACCATGGTGGTCATGTTTGTCCATAAAGTGGTTTGCTCTGTTCTGAGTCTGTCCACATACCTGTATGCACATGTGTCCATGAATATGTGGCTCATTTAATTAGTGCAGTGACACCCTCTTCCCAGTATCACAGCAGATGTGTCTGAGCCTGCGCCAAGTGTATGGTGAGAGCTAAATAATAGGGGAAAAATCCATAGCTATTTCCTGTTATTCTATAAACTTCCACAACAGGACAACCACACATACCACAATTGAGATGAAAGGGATCTGTTCTTTTTCTCACTTCACTTCACAAACCATTTATCCTGTACGGCCCTGGCCATCCCACTTAGCACATGAATGAATTCAATGTAGACATGCACATTGGTAGTAAATCAGAATGTTATGTCAGACCTGTCAGGACACCTCATTGGGTTGAATGTATACAGTGTTCAAAGATAGTTTGCAGTATTAATCTTCCGAGAATCACAATTCATAATTGTAGGAACAGTGTTGTTGTGTGGTTGCACATGGTGGACATGGTAACCATTTCAGCACGTACACCACTCAGTCCTGAGAAACTCTTGCTGAGAACATTGATATCACTCTCATACCTGTCGGATGAAGCTACAGCCTGTTAGCTTTACCATAGAGAATAAACAGTGTGTTTACAGTGTTTTTACTAAGCTAAGCTAACTGGTTGCTGGCCATACCTTCATATTTAGATATTTAAAGGTACAGTATACACAAAACTCATAGCAAGACAGTGATTATCCCCCTTAAGAGCCATTGTGCAACTCTTCGTGACACATTTTCTGTCTTGATTTTTACAGGTGGTGCACGAGATGCCAATAAGAGATCCGTGTTTTCAGGTGAGGATCTGAACAGTTAGAGGCGTCACAGCCTAAAATCCAGAGAGACAGACTCATGTCATAAAGTGCTGTTTCCCATGGGTCACCAAAAACCAGCCATGTGTGAGTTCTGCTATTGTAAGCAACTGTCTTAAATTGAGAGAGCCTCAGTGTCTGTCAGTGACCTCATTTGTAGAGCCACAACATGCTACCTAAATAACTACCAATGGGTGACTTACTGTGAAAGCCTCCACCTTCATTTATGGTCCATTCAATTACCGTCACAGGCTAAATGGAGGGCACAGTGGCTCTGAAATGTGATTGGTGGAGGCTGGCCATGTGTGGAGACAGCAACGCTGTTGCCCAGTTCCATTAAGTCACTTGGGTTCTGAGTTTACACGCAGCAGACAGCGTCAACTCTCAGCGTCAACATTTGGGAGAAGGAGAAAGTCTGTCTGGTTTGAGGTTGTCTGCGGTTCTCCTTCTTGTGGCTCCGGAGGTGCCCACAGTTCCCAGTGTCAGTGTGCCAGTCTGGAGGGAGATCTGAGAGCAGGCTGCTGCTGCTTGGCTATCAGAGAGGCCAGAGCATTGCCACGGTAACCAAACCCAAAGCTCACTGCTTTAAGTCACCCCAATCACTGCTCTCCCAGAACTTATTATGAAATATAGTCGTTGGAACCTCCACTGGGCAGCACCAGGCCTCATTTTCCACCTCATGTTTGTCTATGACATGTTCAAATATTAAATGGCTGTTTCATAGTAATTGCTCCAGTTATTATTCTTATTAGCGGTTATATGTGTCTGATTTTGGTTACTAGGAGACTGATGTTTTTGTCTTTCATTTTTCACAGGCCTTTAGTGATGAAGACCAGAGACATTGATCCAATCAAACTATTATGCAAACCACTGGACATTTTGAATATGTGTACAGAGACAATTATTTTTATAATTCATATGAATGAGAAAAAAAAAAAGATTGTATACTTTTTTCCACAGATATTTCATAGACATTGTACTGTAACTGTATGATACAATGTGAAAATATTACTTCAGAGTATGGAATACAACATTTATTTTTGTTTGCTCTATAGCATGCTATTGAACCTCCAACGTGGAGTCTAGAAACAGATGCATTTTGTTGTTGACACACTTTTTTAGGCCTAGTGCATATTCACATTGTGAGGGCAGCACACCCATGTTAAGAAAAACCTTTATTGATATGCACTGTTAAAAGATGTAGTGTTTTTCAAATAACAAATACCCAAGTCGTGGAGGGAATACGAGGAATGCTGTTATCTTAATTAAAATGATTTGGTGCACATGTCCCCTTTCTGTTTATGCGCTTCTTTTTTGTATAGAGAATATTCAGAGTTTTGAGACATGCAAACGCTGAGTTTGAGAAGAGTTAAACTGTGGTGCTGATAGAGACGTAGAAATCTGTCTTGACCATGACTACATTCTGTGTGTTTGCCTGGGCGCGTTTTGGTTAAACTGTGGTTGTCTGAGTGATACACATGCAACGTCAGCACTAGAGACACAGGCATCACGGACACAATCTCCACCCTGACACAGTCTGATCCCTCCGTTCGTACCCTACTGAATTTTGTGGTATGGTTCACCCAGCCATGCCAACTTTTGAGTCCGTCTCTCGGGATGTGGTCAACGAACTGCTCAAATCTCCTGTCTCGTTTCTTTGAGGGTGATTTGCTGGATGTGTGAGAAGACTAATTATTCAAAACCCCATCTTGTAAAACACGGTATGTGGATTAATGTCCCATGTATTTCAGCACATTTATTACTCATTGGAAAGGGATGTGGTTTCGAAAGGTCCGTGGAAGAATTTGAGGACATGGCATAATCGAGTCACATTGGTGCCTTGATATAATCTTTATATCACCATAAACAATATTTTCCTGTCAGAAAAGGAAAGGGAAACATCTTGTATTGCATATTCCAATTTTCATACTTCATTTTACATTCTCACTTTGTTGCAGGGCAGTTCAGGGTGAGATTGCCATCTGTTCTTGTCCCACAGATCACCAGCATGCTAACTCCGTTTATACTATCAATATTTTCTTTGAGTTCATGTGTCTCTTCCAGTCTTTCAGTTCTTATGTCAGCATAATATCAAGGCATGAGGAGCTCTTAAATACGGCAAGACAGTTTCTGAGATGAGGACTTCAATTACTGCCACAGATGTCACACAAAGACAGCGCTCTGATGCTTTTCCCTCCGTCTGAGTATCTGCGAAGGTCTCGGCACGTCACAACTTATAAAGATGAAATGCTGGCAACATTACTGATACCTCTTCTTTGTATTGTATCGTATTTCAGATTATAGCCATATGACTTCTTCATGATTATTCCAAAGATGATCATGCTTTTAATGCTGCACATATATAATCATTTAGTTAGAGCTGCTCGATATCAGTCACATATGCCATTTTATTAAGCATCTGAGGGATCAAGTTTCATATCATTAATACCATCTCTCTGGAGTATGAAACCTCCAATATCTTTTCAAAGTAGGTTTTCTGTGCAGGCTTTATACACCAGGCTCATTCAGAGCAACTGCAAAGGCCACCCAGGAATAGCGGCAGACATCACTGTACTTACTGGGAGATCCGGACCACCATCAATGGTCAGCAGACTGACCTAGGGCTTAATTTACAACTGAACAGACCGGGATTTATCCTGACATACAGCACAAATAAATCTATGGTGGAAGGGAGGTATGCTTTGAAGGCATATAAAGTCAGTATCACTCGCTGCTTGAAATGTTCCAGTATGGTGAGAATGTGCTATATGTGGAAAACTAGCGGTGTGGGTATGCGAGTGTATGTGGGTCTGTGTTGATGTGCACAGAGAGTGAAAGCCTTTTGATAAAATGAGAGCTGTGATATGAGTAAGAAATAGACCTTAAGGTTTTAATCTTGGGGTGGGAATTTAATATCTACCTAATATTTACCTTCTTTTGCCTCTTAAAAGAAGAGGGATGAGAGGGAAATGAGAAGGAGCGGGACATAGTGCATGTACATTTAATAATGTTTTACATAACATTTACTTGAATATTCTCTCAGTTCTTACAATACTTAACAACTGTCATATCCGGTCATATTTGTCAAACCATTGTTTGTATATACATCTTTGACTTTAATGTTAATAGATAGCAATCTGAATAAAAAGCTAGTACTGTACCTCAAGCCACACTATCACCAAACTAGCGCCATGTATAATTATGGAGAAACTCCATTTTAAAACCTTTTTGTGAGGACTCCTTTACCGAACCACCCAGGGAGGTTTTTTTTTCATGGTAACTGTAATTTAAAACATAATCAACAATCTGGATTTTGTTTTCTGTGTTCATTGAAGTGAACTGCCTGTTCTCACAGAGCTAATGAAATCAGCCTCCACTGTTCTTTAACTTTTAACTTCTTCAAGGCTGTCATCAACACGAAACAGTGTTGCTCTGTGCTGTCATGTGAGGCAGGGTTAGAAGTTCTTCCCCACTAAAAGTAATTCACTTTGTTTTACAGAATTCATAGTAATAAAAAATTGTACTTACTGTAAAAGCAAAAAAACCCAAACAATATAAGTTGACCTATGCCATTGTTTACAGAGCAGATCATGGGTTCACATCTTGTTGACAGCAAAGACTTGTTCGTGTTCACAGCCAGTATTGAGCTGTTCAGCTCCACTGGAACAATTGGTGTACTGTTACCCCTAAACTTGAACGTGTATTTTGTTAACCCCATAGTATTCAGAGAGTTGATGATTAATAAGAAACATCAAAGAAAGAAAATCTCAGCCATATTTCAGCCTCATATGATGCTTAAAATCATGTTGTTTTCCGTGGCTTGTCTAAACCCTTTAAAATGAGTTGGTTTAAATGAGAAACAGACCTGGGGTCCCAGGGTGGCAGTAAGCATGACACTGAAGAGGATGAACTGTCTTATTTATTGCCACACAGGATTTATTGTTGTTGTTGAATGCTAACACAATAATAGGTGTTCAAATCTTGTCATGATTATTGGTAGATTTTAAATGATTTAAAACTGTTTTTTAATTTGTCATTTTACAATGCATCGCAAAATGTCTTTGTGGGTCATCTGTAGCGAAGTGGGAAGAGTTATGTTTGTATGTAAAGTCTTGCACATTTAAATTTTCAATAATAAACCAGTTTTTCTTGAGTGTGCAATCTCTTATTGTCTGTGCTTACAGTTTAACTGGGAGAGTTTCATTCATCAAAGCTTTAAAAGTGCTCCAACTGTCAGTTAAACTAATAAGACATGTAGGATGGCTGAGATAAGTCCTCCTTATCCTCCTTGGTTTAATTTAATCCCACATGATCATAATTTTTACATTTAAATTGCACATCAATTACTACAACCCACTTTGAAGTCACAGGAAAAAAAAATCCTGCGTGCATGTGTTTGACAATGCTTGCTGCTGTTTCGAAGACATTTCCATTTTCCTCACGGACTCTCTGACTACTGCATCTGCTCCACAACAAATCATTTTAACTAGTTGCAACTCTGTTTCCTAAACCAAATGAAGTAGCTGGAAATGTGGAACACAACTAAAATGTACCTTACAAGAACGTAAAATAACTATGAAAATGGAAAATACGTCTTCTTCATCTTGTTCTCGGGGCAGCGTGGGCGTGTTGCTGCCCTCCACAGGTCAAACATAGACCTCCATAAATAGCTGTCACTTCCGGTGGCCATCTTCAATTGTGTGTCCAACCCGTGTGTCAGGTGAAACGCCTTTACGGCACGACCAGGCGTGTTTATTTTTTTCCAGACTTTGAGAACTATCTGGAAAAACCCTCAAAGCAGTGGTTTCACGATTATTTAGCTCTGTAACTACGTTGTCCTCCACATGTGTGAAGCTATGACTACAGGAGAGGCAAGGCTAACTTCAGGTTCAAGATGAAGGACATTTTCAAGGTAAGCTAATGACCTGACCTGCTAATGAATGAAAACTGTGTTCTGTTTGTTGGCTGGTTTGCGGTTTTAATGTATGTTTTGTTTTCAACAACAGACATTTAACCTTAGCTCCAGTTCCATATTATTATTAAGCTCAGCCGGTTTTACTTTTTTTGAGCAGCAAAAATCACCAGAATAATTTTTTTTCGCATTTAATTAGATTAGCCTACGTTTACTGTGATAACATTTCATGAAGTTGTTGCTCTAACATGTTGTGTAAACGTGAAATGAAAATCCAGTGTAAATGTGAGAGTGTGTGAGGTTAACAAGTCTTAAATCCATTCAGCATTATTTAAACCTCGGGCAGTATAATGAAAATCAACCATCTTTATCCCAACATTGTAAACCAGAAGATATCCATCACTGTTGTGTGGATAGTTGAGGCTGGTAGGTTTGGCAGGACTTGTGAAGTGCTGAAGGACATACTGTCTGTATTAAACAAGTGTTATGTTGTTTCCAGTTGAATAGTTTTCGTGACATTTTCAGCTGTTTGCTGTGGCATTTTACTGGCCTTCTCTTTCACAATTCCACATGATCTAGTAGCACAGAAATTGTATTTGTTAATGCTTTTTTCCGTAAAGATCAAGGTGTCAATCTCAATTTTTATGATGAATGACATGGGAATGGCTCATCCCCTTTTGGTGTGTTGTGTTTTAAAAGAAAAAGATCGCTACTGGGATTAACAAATTCTTGTATGATCCTTTGGAACATCACATATCTCATGTTGTTCCAAAGAGTTGTTCAGAAAATCCAGAGGGATTACACAGTGGATGGATCAACAGAAATCCTGTTGTGATCTCTGGCTGATTGTGAGGCTTTTCTGTCAAATCTCTGTAAGAGTCACATAAAGCCCTGGAGCCTTGAGAGTACTCTGCTCTTTGTTAAGGTTCAATTGTGAGACCTCAGTGTGTGAGAACGGTAGTCTGAGCTG